GAACAAAAGTGAAACCCACTTGGTTTGATGTAAAGAAGACTTTAGTATTTGTTAAACAATACAGAAAAAATATTCTGCTTTGAGAGAGAAAATGTGATCCACCAATTATTAAAACATGCAGTCAAGCTAAACCTTTATTGTTGTCATAGACTACGACACATCATGATGTTGTGTTAGTAACACTTTGAAGAATGTGTAATAATGTTTTATTAGTTAATGCCCGAGTGCTTTAATGCATTGCTGCTGCATTTTTTTTTTAAATGACGGGTAAACTCTAAATATATAATATTAGAATTAAGACTGCAGGGTAAGTTTGGAGCAACTGTGGTCATGTTACAGTTTTTATTGGTCAAATAAAGGCTGATGGAACTTAAATAACAATAATCAAACCATATAAAAGTGAAAATTAAAATAAATATTTTAGGCCTTTTTAGAGTGGGAGTTCTGTGGAAAGGTCATGAACAGTTAATATCCTACCTGTTGCAGATAGTTCATTGAACAACCTCAATTTGGAGTTTGATTCTGATCGTATTGATGAGCTAATGGCTAGTCTGAGTGAGACTGAAGGGGCTTGTTTTCTTTTTAAAACAGCTCAAATCCACTAAAAGTTCATAATGGTTCATGACATCCATCCATCCATTATCTTTACCTGCTTCTTCCTTTTCAGGTCATGGGGGTCACTGATGCCCATATCCAGCAGTCACTGTGTGAGAGGCGGGGGACACCCTGGACAGGTCTCCAGTCCATCACAGAGACAATCATTCACTTTCTCACTCACACCTAGGGACAATTTAGAGTTACCAATCAGCCTAACATGCATGTTTTTGGTCTGTGGGAGGAAACTGGAGTACCCAGAGAAAACCCACACATGCACGGAGAGAACATGCAAACTCCACCCAGAAAGGTCCCGGGCCGGGATTTGAAGTGACGACCTTCTCGATGAGAGGCGGCAGCTCTACTGCACCATCGGGCCACCCGTGGTTCATGCAATAATTGTTTGTAAAACAATTGATGGGTAGCTGTAAGAAGAAATAATGGCGGCAGCAGCTAGCTGTAGGCCTGGTACACTTCCTGCTGGAATATCGTATTTCTGCCAGATTAACAACGCAAAGCAAAATTGACAGCAACATGTTTTTTTTAAATAGCATTCATAACGGCAACGTCATTTCTGCAAATAAAGATGTTTTTTAAGACGACAGAAATCCACTCAAACAGCCATGAGCTCATCAGTACAGTCAGAATTAAACTCTTTAAGCTGAGGCTGCTCAAACCTTTCCATAGAACCCCATTTCAAAATATATGAACCATTCATTTAAAGCAAATTATAGAGGATTTTATAGTTTTTAACAATATGTGCTGTACAATTTTTGGCAATACCATAAAAAAAACATGACTCTAACTTTGCAAGTATTTTCTGTAAACTGGTTTAAACTTAACCCTCCTGCTGCCCTTTGGTTAAAATGACCCACGGGCCTATATGTTTTAAAATTAAAGTATTGTGGGCCATTTTGATCCAAGGGCAGCAGGAGGATAAATTGTCGCTTTGCAGTAACATTGACCTACAACTCAGATTTTGTTTCCTTTCTGCTTTATTTGACAAGAAAAATGTTGCTTTAAATTCAGCAGCTAATTATTTAATTTAACAGCTTAAAGTGAAATCTAAAGCAGAACAGGAAGACCAGTAGAAGCAGATGGCCGCTCGTCCTGAGCCTGGTTCTGCTGGAGGTTTCTTCCTGTTTAAAGGGAGTTTTTTCTTTCCACTGTTACCTTTGTGCTTACTCAGGATGAGAAACCGCAACAAAGTGAAGATTCAACACAATCTGCTGGCTTCCTTAGATAGATAACTTTTCCTAATGGGCTTTTTTTAATGTATATGAATGTTTCTGTGCAGTGTCCTGAGACGACTTCTGTTGTAACTTGGAGATATATAAATAAACTGAACTGAATTGAAAGGAGCCACGCTGTCAGCGACCTGCTGAGGCCGCTTTGAGCAGGACGAGGATTCCTGTTGAGTCCCACGGCTGCTGTGACACTGGTTAGATGGGGAAAGTATTTACTGGTTTAATCAGTAACTTTAATACTTTTTATGTTGATTTTTGTGGCTTGCCTCTCTGTTCTTGGTGTCAAGTGTATTTGCTCAAATATAGATTATACAGTGTTTATTAGGTCTAAAGAGATCGTTATCAACACATACGTTATTATCCAGCTTACTTCGTTGTGTGTTTTAGTTTTACCTATCTGGGCTCTGCTCTGTTTGCACTCTCTAGGTGAAACTAAGTGCTTGAAGGCTGAAGCATCTGTGGAAGAAACAACTGAAATAAAATACATCTATCATGCTATAAATCAAGTTAGTACAGACTACACGCAACTACAATTAGATTTTCTATGTGAGTCTTGTTTTTAATGTGGGTTAGCGGTATAGTTCAGCCTACAAACTTCAAAAGAAACAATAAATTAGCATATTAATGGCAAACTATGCTCTTGAACTTGATTAATTTCATAAAGAGAAGTATCTGAGTCAATTATCTTAAGAATTACACAGACCAAACACATGTCCATGACTAACGGCAGCTGTCATTGTGACTGGACAGAGTGCTTGGATTGTGAAAATAATGATAAAAACAAATAAAAATACAGAAACATGTTGCACTTTTTTTGTATTTTAGTACTAAATAATCAAATTAAAGGGAAGTAGATTAAACTGGATGTAGCTTGGAATAAGATTCAAACGTTTGGGTCAGGGCCACAGTGAGGGTCATGAAGCAACAATAAGGACAAAAAAACGTACAAATGATGCTAACAGCATGTTTTTGGCACAAAGACTTCAGCTGTTGTTTGGGCTGGTCACAGTCACTGTATCTCTCCGTTTCTACACTTTATTCAGTGATAGTTGTGAAAGTCTCTGCTGCCGTTAGTTTGCAGGTCAGAAGCTGAAACTTTTTGGACCCACTGAGATGCAGAGCAGACACACAACGGGCCTGTTAGCCTGGTCTGTAGCAGTTTTATCCATGCGGACAAACCCACTCCAGAAAAAGCTGTGATGTTGTGTGAAATGCAAAAAAGAACAGAATGTAAGGATTTGCAGATTTCACAAGACCCATATTTCTACTCACAATGAAACACAGCGAATATAATAAACGTTTAGTCTGAGAAAATTCACCACTTTAAAGGAAAAAAAAAAGAGTGAATTCTGAATTGGCAGCAGCACATCGCAAAACAACTGGGAGGGAGCGACAAAAGCTGGTAAGAGTGAATGAGTAAGAAACAATTAAAGGATCATTTTTGCAGCAATTTATAAAGGACACTGGATTAAAAAGAATATTTTAGAGTTGAATCTTTCAGAAATAAAAATGGGCAGTCTGTGAAAAACTGTCTAAAAATCGTGGAACTATTTCAGAATCATGTTCCTCGTAGGAAAATTGTGACGACTTTTAACACCCCATGACCTTCAGCTCATATTCGAAGGTTTATAAAAATCTTTCTGAAGGAATGGGGTGCACTTTGACTCTGGCATGGGCAGCTTACACATCTGGACACGCATAGAAAAGTAAGCACAGGTTTTAGAATAACCAACGTATGTTGCTTCCATCTAGACATATTTTTCAGGGAAGTCTGATTATTTCAGCAAGACGATGAATCCTCATGGCTTCAAACAGCCCGGGGGCTGAACTGACCGGCCTGCAGTCCAAACTTCTGACCAGCTGAAAATATTTTAAGCATTATGACATGAAAAATCTTGCAAAATGCCTGTTGAATATTTAAAAACCTTACCAGTCAAGAATTGGATGGTATTCTTCTCCTAAACCTGCTGCAGCTGTTCTCAGAAATGTTGACAGACAGAGGGGGCACTCCTCAGTGGTTCATGACCCTGGCTGCCACAACTATTGGTTTGAGACATCATACTGAACATACCAGATTTTTTTTTGTCCAAACAAATGGCACAACTTCTTAGCTTCATTGTGCAAAAAAGCGGAAATAAAACTTGCAATTCTGTTTTAATTTAAATTGTGCCCAACACTTTCAAAACTGAGGTTGTAGAACGTGCAGCTACTTGAGTCCAAAAACTTTTAAAATACAACCAAAGGTTTTTGCACAGTGACTGCTCAAGGCTTACTTTCTGCTCTGCAGTTTTTGTCTGCCTGTCTTATAGGCCTGCTAACAGGGAGTGACAGCCACAGATGTGTGGTTACCATGGTGCCCACAATGAGCCACTGGCAGCAGCTTGAACGTCTCCATTTGCCAACAGACACCCCTCCACCCCCCACCCCCAACTAACTATAGGACTTCAGGCCTGAGTCACAGGAAGCTGGACGTGATGCTGCGGGTCTGCTGCTGCTGCTGCTGCTGCTGATGATGATGATGATGATGGAGGGGGGGGGGGGGGGGGTCCCCCCCCCCCCCCCCCCCTCCCCCGCGAGTTTGCGGATCCCCTGCTGCGGCAGGTGCTCCACTGTGTCCTCCTTCACCC